GCGGGGTTTCCTGAGCGCCTCGCGTAGTTTGAAGGGAAGAAAGCCTTTCCGGCGAGGTTTTAGCTTGAGCGGGCCGCGGGTTGGTGCGTCTGACCTTTTTGTTCCTCGTCGAAAGCCACCCCGGCCACCATGAGGCCTTCCAACCTCGCGCCCTTGGCGGGTTCTCTGCAGATGCAAGAAAGAAACATTTCTGAACCCGCCGCCGCCGCCGCGACTCCGGCCTCTTTCGGTTACTCGCTGGGCGTGTGCAAAGCCAAGCCAGAACAAAGCTGGGCTGGCTAGAGCCGGACACGGGACACGAGGACACCGATCGCCGTAGTGTTTCATTTTCCGCACACGGGGAGAAACTGCCTCCCACCGCAACAGTCTGGTCTCCGTGTGAACCCTTTTGTATTTTCCGATCGCAGCTTCCTTTGAGGGAAGGAGGAGAACCGTTCCTAAAGTACGGCCTTTCCCCTGTTTCTTTTCCCAAGGTTAGAAAATAGGGAAACCCAGATCGTGTGGTTTTTTTTCCCCCTCTACTTGATAGACAATCCTAAAACTGCTACTTTTTCTTTCTTTCTTTGTTTTTTAATTTTCTTTCTTTCTTTCTTTTTATTTTAATTCTCTAGTTTGGTGCTCGGCTCCTCCGATGTTGGAATGCGATCGGACTGAACATACTCTTCGGTGGTTTTATATCCGTTCTGGGTCGCGGTGACTAGCATTGAACTTTGGCTCCTGTAACTTGCCTACGTGGAGAGTTAAACTGGAGCTTTGCTTTGAAGGATAAATAAAGCTCAGCCTCCCGACTGGACATAAATGGATCTAAAGACAGCCGTGTTCAACGCAGCGCGCGATGGCAAACTCCGGCTCCTCACCAAGTTGCTGGCTAGCAAGTCCAAAGAGGAGGTTTCCTCCTTGATCTCGGAAAAAACAAATGGAGCCACACCACTCTTGATGGCTGCTAGGTATGGGCACCTCGACATGGTGGAGTTCCTTCTAGAGCAGTGCAGCGCTTCCATCGAAGTCGGGGGCTCTGTCAATTTCGACGGGGAAACCATCGAGGGGGCCCCCCCTTTATGGGCCGCGTCTGCAGCAGGACATCTGAAGGTTGTCCAATCTTTGTTAAATCATGGAGCATCCGTCAACAACACGACTCTAACCAATTCAACTCCTCTTCGAGCTGCGTGCTTCGATGGCCACTTGGAAATAGTGAAGTACCTTGTAGAACACAAAGCCGATTTGGAAGTGTCCAACCGACATGGGCATACATGCTTGATGATTTCCTGCTACAAAGGGCACAAAGAGATCGCTCAGTATTTACTTGAAAAGGGGGCAGATGTTAATAGAAAAAGTGTTAAAGGTGAGTTCAGCTTTTTTTTTCTTTTTTTAAGTGACTGCCTCCTATTTTCAGGAAGTCTGATAGCCGTTTTTAGCATCGTTGCTGAGTAGGCCTGCATTGCCAGATCTGTTTATTAGGTAACCCTTGCAGTATTTCCTTGACTCTGTTACTTGATAGTGCATTAAACAGATGTGGCAAGCGATTCCAGACACTATATTAAACAGCGTTTTCTCTCTTGTCCCTATAGTTACAGAGCATATCAGTGGCAGATGAGCTTAACCTTCTTGCCTTATAATTTGATCCATTTGGAAATAGAGTGAAATGCAATACATTGTTTTGAACTTTTTTTTAGAATCACTTTGGAGTAGTGAGTCACCATCTTATTTATTCTAGGTAGACATTTATTTGTTACTCTTTCATAGAAGGCTAGACCACACTGCCTTGCAAGGATTAAATCTGAAAGGGGATATCTGTTTCACTTACTTGGGGCCAACAGAAAATCCTTTTATGTAGAACATGTATTAAGTGTAGCAAGACAGAAAATGGATTCTAAAGACCCGCTTAGGACTAGAAAAGTTAAACAGGGACTAGGTTAAGCCATTGTGGATTTGTTGGGAACAATTTAGGGACCTTCATCAGGAAGAGTTTAGGTTTACAGATGTCTGTAGCCTTCACTACGGTATAAAACTGAAGACAGTTTTAGGTTAGAAATTCTTAAAACCTTTAACAGAGATTTTCTCAGAACAATTTGATAGCCTGAAGATCTTACTTAAGTAAATCTGCACAACGGTAAAATGATTCTCTACCGAATTTTGAAAAGCTGTTAAGATTTTAAAAGTAGCATAAATCAGGCGAAGAATTTTTCAAACATCATAAATTGACTTGCATTGTTTACAGTGAAAAATGTCTTACCACCCATGCATTCTAGACTTCTATAGAAGCCTGCAATCATTTATGGTTTGTTTCATTCTTCTAGAGATAGACGGTGCACCCCTCTCTCCTTGCTTTACTTTTGCTGTTGGTATTTGTGTCTGCACACAAGTGAATCTTAATCCTAGGTTATGTCGCTCAATTTCAGTAAACATGGCTGACTCATTCTTGTTTTATACAATTTTTCATTGAACATTTATCATTAATTGAGCTAGGACTCTGCTAGGATAAACAATCCTGCTGTGAATATTCTTGAAGAAAATGTGTATTAGCACACTTTTGTGAGAATAACTATAGTATGAAGAAACGTATGCTTTGTGGTAGAAGGCAAGACACGAGGTGGGGCCCTGTACTACTGAGCATGTTTATAACAGTAGGTTGTTTTTTTTTTTTCTCTAAAAGGGTCTTATAAAAATGATACAAGGCTATTGAGGTATTTTTCGTTTTGTTTTGTTTTAAGTTTTTCAGAGCAGATGTAAAACTCTTTAAAAAAGAATCCTGGTGCTCAGACAATTCTTCCAATGATGCTTCTAAAATTTTTTATAATTTTGTATTTCCTAAATATACAGATATGTGTGTGTGGTTTTATTTTATGTCTTGTTCTATAACCTGTTTTTTTTTTTAGATTAGTAAGTTGTTTTTAAATTCTTAACCATAGCTCTGTAACGAAGTACTCTTAGTGCATGCTTGTTCATTTTTATAAAATAATTAAATCTTGTTGGGATAGTTGATACTACAGGACATACAGTAGCTTTAGTGTTTTTTACTTTAAAATTTTTTTTCCTTTTATTGAAGTTAGATTTTTTTCCTCCCATATTATATCCTGATTATGGTTTCCTTCCCTCTACTCCTCCCAGTTTTTCCCCCACTTCCCCTCCCATCCAGAACAATTCCTTTTCTGTCTCTCAGTAGAAAATAGGTTTCTGTAGGAATAATGATATAATATACTATGATAAAACTAAGACATTGGAATTGGACAAAAACAAACAAATAGAAGAAAAAGAGCCTGAGATAAGGCACAAGGAACAGACTCACTTGCACACTTGGAATTCCGCAAAAATACTAACCTGACAGTTACAGTATATATGCAGAGGACCTGGTGTAGACCTTGGTGCATGCTGCCTCAGTCTCTGAGTTTATATGTGCCAATCATGCTGATCTAGAGGGCCTTGTTTTCTTGCTTCTACTCCATCCCCTCTGGCTCTTACATTCTTTCTGCCTCCTCATTCCTGAGGTTCCCTGACCCTTGAGGGAAAAGATTTGTTGGAGATGTTGCATTTAGAGTTAAGTGTTCCAAGGTCTCTCATTCTGCATATTGTTTGGTTGTGGGTTTCTGTATTTCTTCTCATCTACTGCAGGAGGAAGCTTCTCTGATGGCTGTGCAAGGTACTAATCTATGAGTATAGCAGAATATCATTGGAGTCAAGGGCAGAAGTATTTGGTTTTACCCTAGGTCTATCTAGTCTCAGGTCCATGGTCACCCAAGCAGTGTTGGGTATGAGTTCAATCTCATGGACCTTACCTTAAGTCAAATCAGATATTGGTTGGTTACATTCACAAGCTTTGTGCCACCATTGCAGTAGTGTATCTTGTTGGCAGGGCACCATTTAGATCAAACTGTTAGTGTCTGACTTGGTATTTGTTACTCTTTTGGTAGAGTGCATATAGTACCTTCTGGTACCAAAGATGCTAGAATGCAGGGGTGAAGGTTCTTTATAAGTACCAGCTGACTTCTCCGTGTCTAACGAATTGTATAGGTGTTGTCTTCAGCAATGGGCCCTTGCCATAATAACTTTGTGGAGAACAACATACACTCTTGGCAGCAACCTGGGTTATTTGGGAATTCCCATGGGATCCACTCTAACCAACAACTCAGATGTAACCGGATCCCAGTACTGGAAGCTTTGGTGACAAGGAATTGTTCTTTGGGTCTGTCTTCCCATTATTTGGCTATTTCATTTAGCTTGCCTTCATTTATGTATATGTTTTAGGAAACTTCTACTGTGTTAGGTTTCCATACTACTCCTCAAATGGCCCTTAATTTTAGGTGTCTCTCCCCATAGTCCCCAATCTTCTTTCCCTTCCCACTTGATCCCCCTGTTCCAGCCCACCCATCCATACATAGCTGTTTATTCCCTTTCTTAATAGATTTAATGGTTCCCCTAGTCCCTTACTCTCCCTAACTTCTGTGGTTCTATGGATAGTAGTTTGGTTATCATTGATTTAACAGCTAATATGCACATATAAGTGAACACATACCATATTTGTCTGTCTGTGTCAGGGTTACTTCACTAAGAATGATTTTTTTTTCTCCATGGGGTGCTGGCACGTGCCTTTAATCCCAGCACTTGGGAAGCAGAGGCAGATGGATCTCTGTTAGTTCAAGGCCAGCCAGGTCTACATGAGCAAGTTCCAGGACAGGCTCCAAAGCTACAGAGAACCCCTGTCGTGAAAAATAAAATAATTTTTTTTCTTGTTTCATCCTGCAAATTTCATAGTTTCATTTATTTTAACGGTTAAATAATATACACCCATTGTGTAAATGTACCACTTTTTTTTATCCATTCTTCATTCCATTGAGGGACATCTAAATTGTTTCCAATTTCTGGCTATTATGAATAGAGCAGCAATAAACATGGTTTAACAACAGTCTGTGTGGTAGGATGAAGCATCCTTTGGGTATGGGCCCCACAGTGGTATAGATAGATGGAGATCCCATCTTCCTGAGAAACCACTACACTGATTTCCATAATAGCTGTGCGAGTTTGCACTTCCACTAGCAGGAATGAGTGTTCTCCTTCCTCTGCATCCTCACCATCATGAGCTATCACTTGTTTTATTGATCTTAGCCATTCTGATGGATATAAGATGAAATCTCAAAGTAATTTTGGTTTAAGAACTGCATACTTGCCTAGCAATGGTGGCGAGCACCTTTAATCCCAGCACTTGAGAGGCAAAGGCAGGCAGGCAGATCACTGAGTTTTAGGCCAGCCTGGTCGACATGGCTAGTTCCAGGACAGCAAGGCTACACAGAGAAACCCTGTCTCAAAAACTCAAAACATTTATAAAAATAAGA